AGGTTGCAGGGGGTGGGGCTCTTGAGTACTGGCCAGGGCTGGCTGGAGGGGCAGGGTCTTGGCACTGGGTATGTCAAGGTGGTTTCTAGAGGTGGGGGAGGGTCTCTTGTCAGGGGCCTGTGGCACAGGCTCTGTGGGGGGGCGTGGGAGGTGTTGGCTGTGTGCCTTGGGGTCAGCTAAGCCATGCCTCCCTAGGCGTGAGCGAGGAGAACCTAACCAAGCTGGTGCAGCACGCCAACATCCCAGCCCAGAGCGGTGCCCTGCGCAACCTGCACCTGCTGGGCACCCATCTCACGCCTGGTGTAAGTGGCCCACCCTGTGCTCCCCCCACCAACCCTGGCATCCCAACTCCCTGGGCACACCTAGGGCTCTTCCACCTTCTCCCCCCTCAGGCAAGGTGTGCCCCCTGGAACCCTTACCCACTGGGCACCCTTCTCACTCCCTGGTAAGTGCCCCCACCAGGCGCCCCATCCCCTTGGTCACCCATAGAGCTTCTCTCCTTGCACCCAGCCTGGGCTAAGTATGGTTCCCCCGCCTCCCCTGGTCTATCCTGGGCCCAATCCCTCTGTTGCTGTTGCCCTCTGCTTCCTGTGTCTGGGGGGGAGTCCCAGTCCTGTCCCTCTGGGGGCTATTGTGGTGGGGGAGGGGCTGTCAGCCCATCTGTCTGTCTTTCCGTCTCTCTGTCTCTGCTCAGTGGTCTCTTCTTTCCTCTGCCTCCCCTCTGCCAGCTCGATTGGACCTGCCCAGGTAGGCGTCCACTCCCTCTTCCTGTCTCTCCCTGCCCCCACGTCATGCCTGGCCCCCTATCCCTTGCTGCCCCTCACTTGCTCTCGCCTCTTCTTCCCTCCAGAATGGGCAGCTGCGGCCTGAGACCCGGGAGCGCCTGGAGTCCACGTATCAGCTCTCACGCTGGACCCCCGCCCTCAAAGACGTCATGGAGGTGGGGGACCAGCTATGAGATGTGGCTGGCTCTGGGGTGGGGTGTGGTGGGCTCACTGAAGGCCCTACAATGCCCCCTAGTGCCAGCCTGAGGCACAGGGGGGGTGCGCACCACCTGCAGCACAGTGCCCCTAGTGCTGAGGCCCCTGGGTTCACTGAGTGCCCTGAAGGGCCCCCCACTTCCCCTGTGCCCCATGCAGTCTCCCATCCAGGCACAGCCCAGGCCTGACATTACTTAGCTTGTGAGAGGTGACAAAGCTGCTCCACCACTCAGTGGCTGCCCCTACCAACACTGCTGGAGGGGGGTCTTGGGCACATACAGCTCTGAGCACAGTGGTGTTACACCCAGCCAGGCTCCGGGGGGGAGGGGTGTTCAGGGGCACCCTGGACTGGCAGCAGCCCAGTGCCACATCAAGCAGGGCTGTGCCTCCCCATCTCCCTGTGGGAATCACTAAGCCATGATGCCTGGACAGGATTACCGTAAAAGCCCCTATTACCCAGCATTAGGATGTATCATTGCCTTCTTGCCCCTTGCCCCCACCCCCAGCCACAACCTCTGGCTATGCAAAGGTGCTGCAGTGGCGGGGCAGGCGGGCGGGCGCGGTGGAAGGGTGGGTACATTTCCGTCTCCCCTCCACTATCTGGCTACTTGCCTCAGCATGGGATCTGGGGGTCCCCCAAGGGCTTCTGCCTGTCTGTGCTGAAGGGAGGCCCCTTAGGCCCTGGCACCTGGCAAGGGGGCAGTTCCTTCTGCCCCTGCCACCCCCACCCCCCCAAATAATTTAACTCTTGGTTGTCCAGGGGGGTGGCAGGGCAGGCTGGTGACCCCTGCTGTCTTAACACCTGCCCTCCCCCAAGGATGCCGTGGAGGACAAACTGGACAAAAAGATGTGGCCATTCGTGTCTGACCCGGCTCCGGCTGCCAGCTCCCAGGCTGCTGTGAGGTGAGGTGGGAGAGCCAGGCTGGGTGTGGGGTGGTGCAGTTCCTCCCCTACCTCTTCCCAGCAGCCATGGCCCAACAATCCAGGTTGGCAATTTGGGGGGGGGGTGGAATAGTAGGGAGCCGGGGGGCAGTGCAAGGTAGGTTTGCAGCCTGTGGGCTGGAAGTAGAGGGGCACATCCTGGCAGTTACTTTCCCCTCCAGCCAGGACCCAGGGGTTGCTGGAAGCTCAGTGTTTGGTAATCCAGGCTCAGGGGTGCCAGCCTAGGGCCAATCTGAGGGGAGCAGAGCAAGGTGGGGAGGTCCAAGGGAGGTGCTGAGGCCTCTGGGTAAGGTTCAGCACCCATGCGCATTCCCTGTGTCCTACAGTGCCCGTTTTGGGCATTGGCACAAGAGCCGGGCACCAGGCGAGGGCCGGGCAGGACCACGCCTACTGCTGTTCGTGCTGGGCGGCGTTGCCATGTCCGAGATGCGCAGCGCCTATGAGGTCACACGTGCCACTGACGGCAAGTGGGAGGTACTCATTGGTGAGTGGGGGGCATTGTGGGGAGCCTGTGGGGGCCCCCTCCTGGGTGCCAGGGTTTTGAGGGTGGGGGGGGGAGCTGGGAGAGTAGGGCTGGTACTGGTGGCTTTGTGGCAGGAGGGGAGACTTGGCGGGGCAGTGGTAAGGAGGCATAGTAAGCAGAGCCCTGCTCACTTTGTGGGCCTGTTGTCCATGTAGGCAATAGAATCTCCCCATGTTGCCCCAGCTGGGAATCATGGAGTCATGGTTGGTGGGGTCTCCTGATGGGCTGGGGGAGACGACCCACAGTTTCTCCCAGGTAGGCTGGAGGGCAGTGATGCCTCCTGTCAACACCCCTCTCTGCCTCCCCAGGTTCCACCCACATCCTGACACCCACCCGCTTCCTGGAGGATGTTGCCGCCCTGGACCAGGCATCCCCCCAGAAGGAATAGCGCCCCCCTCCCCTCCCAATTCCCACCCCATATGGCTGCTTGTACCTGACTCTCCAGTCAGCA